TCATTTTCCTTTACACTAAACAACAGAGCACCACCATGGAATGATTCATATGCAAATTATTTTTAAAGTTCAAATAAATAACATTAAGTGCTTGAATAATGTAAGTGCATTGTGGCCCAAACTGAAAGGGATATTCATTTCCTGTTTAGAAATTGTATTTTCCTGGAAAATATAATATAAAGAGCATTTCATGTGAAAATAGGAAAATATTATTTGTAGAGTTCCGTGCAGTCTTTTTTTTTTATGTGTTTTTATTTTCTATTAATACTTTAACAAAAGTTTACAGAAAACTTGGATTTTCATTCATTCACTGTTGCATGTTTTCCTCCGTACCGGCCCCCAGTTCGCATTTCTCTTTAAAAAGAGCCTTTCATTGTTGCACAATTTCCTCCTTCCCCCTGCTCCCCAGTCCAATTTTGCTATCTATGCACCTCTTCTTCTGGACTGTGGACTTTTTGTTTACCTTGCATGATGGTTAGTTTAAAAAAGGATTGTTCCTGTTCCTTCCTAGACAATTTTACAGTGATAGTCAAGAGCTGAGAAACAAAAGCAAACAATTCCTGCTTCCAGCAAAAACATGTGCTGTGTTCTTAGAATACCAGCCAGTGTGCAGTGGGATCATTGAGCGTGAATGGCGGTGGGGGAAATGGCCTGGTGCCCTCTCAGCACTGGGAATGTAACTCTGCAGGCGGGCCTGGGAGCAGGTCCACAGTACACACCGGAAGACTTTCTATTGCCCTTTTTATTAAAAAAAGATAATCGCTTGGGAGAGGTGCCGCCTCCTGATGTGGTGGACGTCTTGTTTTAACTCCCATCTGAGAGACCTTCTTAGGGTACTGGTGCTGGGGATTATTTTACATGTGCTGTTCTAAATTAGCATCACAAATAGAAACCCTGAATAGAAGTAAATTTATAGACTCTGCCAGCTTTGAAGGAAATGGGGAAAGGGAAGAACCAGAGTGGTGGATATATTTAAAATAGCCATTTTGTATTTCATGTTCACGACAGCGGTAATAACTATGGCTGTCTTTGCTTCACACAGAGGGAAATAAATTCACTTCCTTGCTTTTACATGTTCACAAAAGTCTGTGGAACTCTGCCTCTTAGCATGATTAAGGAAGTGCTTGACACGGATGATCTAAGGGTTGGAAACACGTGCACAAGTGTGAAGGCTCTGCCTAGTCCTCCTCCTGTCTCCGCGATCACAGATGTTGGCTGCAAAGCTGCTTTTTCTAGGGGCAGGACCAGGATTCTGTCTCTGGCTTTGTGTTGCTCCTTTATAACTTAGACTTCTGGGACTTGGACACAGGTCAAAGACCTGGCCCCAGCCTTCGGTTGTTACGATCTGGGAGTAGCTGCTCATCCACTGGATTTGGAGGGGTTTGCTGAGAAATGTTAAAGACTTTCCCAGCCCCACTCATTAAAAGGAGCCCACCTTCTCTTTCTGTAAGACCTGGCAGCACTCTGCCTTCAACCCCAGCCCAGTCTGATATTCTCAGGTGCGCCAAGTTTTTCAAGAAACCAAATTGTTTTCACGTAGGTAGCCACCATTGTTTTGAAAAGTTCCAACTTGATTCTATCAAAGCATTTTTCTTTAGAAGGCAATATTGTATAGTACAATATTGCATGCCAGAAATCTAGGTTTGAATGCTTGCCTCAAAGGACTGTTTTAAGGATAAAATATTAAAACAGTATGCAGGTACTTTGCCTGAGGCCTGTCAGGTAATGAGTAGATTCATGGTGTTGGTTCCCCTTTCTCCCTTACTTCTCTTTGCTCTGTCATTTGCCATTTTACTCATCTGGAGCTGTTGGGGCAGAGTTCATAGGACCCCACCAGTGGTTCTGTGGAGAAAAAGAAGCCATCTCTCTTCCCCTGCAGTGTATAACCCCTGGAGCACAGTTAGATCTGTCTGAAAATTTTCATTGTGCTTTCCCTGAAAGTCTGTAGAGTAAGTAGACATTTAATGCACCAGCGCATACAGTTTATTTCTGTGACGTTAGTTCTAATCCCCACGCTGTAGCAGCACTCCTCCGTCTTCCTCTTGTGGTCTTGTTTCTGTCTGCCTCCCTTTCCTATCCCATCCTGCCTTCTGAGCTTTATCTCTGAGAAAAATGCTGCCCTTTTGATCATGCACGCTTGACTATTCTCTAAAGAGAATGTCATTCCTTGGGATAATTGTTGTTGGTGATTGCTTTCAAGTCGAGCACCACTCATAGCGGCCCTATGAAAAAAAGGCTGGAAGCCTTTCTGTAACGACATTTATCAAAGTTCATAGTCTCTGGAAGCATGTGGGTTAGGAAGTGGATGCCGCTCCTGCTTGGTCACCATATATATCTGTCCGTTATTCATTACAGACTTTATTCCAGTCTAGGCTTGAAGGATGAGTGAGAGCCATAGACTTGGGGGTTCCACTAGTACCTATGTGATCAGAGAATCTGGTTCTTTAGGATTTTGAGCTTTGTTCCACACTGTTCCTCCACTCTACCTTCTTTGGCAGTCCATTTCAGAGTGGTCTACAGCACAGTTCTCCTTGAATGTGGAGTAGACATGAGTCAGAATGGACCTGAAAAGCTGGTCACCTGGACAAATAGACAGTGCACTCAGTGGTCTAGAATCATGACACCCCCCCCACACACACACACACGCTGCAGGGGCTCCCAAAAGCTTTCTTCTCTATGTTTATTTGTTATGATTTATTTATCCAAAAGGATTTGAGTTGACTTAGAGTAGAAATACATGGCTATAGGAGGATGGGAGGAACCAGAAGTAAGTAGCCTGAAGTAGGGATAAAATGATAATATTTTTGCAGCGCTACACAAAATTGAGTTCCAAGGTTCATGATATCACTCACTCATTGATACATATAGTCAGAAGTGGCTCACAGCTGACCCTCTGGCAAGTTTTCACAGGCTATCAATCGCACAGGAGAAGACTGCCTGTCATGTGTCTGCGGAACAGCTGGTGGATTTTAACTGCCTGCCTTTGGGTTAGTAGTACAACTCCTTACTAATAGGCCAGCAGTTGTTGCTGTCATGTGCTGTCAAGTTGCTTGCAACTCATAGCGACCCTATGTACAGCACCTCTGAACCCTGTTCTTTCCTGAGCCAACCTTATTTTCTCTGACTCACCTTCCTCTATTTCCCCAGTCACTGAGTCAGTCCATCTCATCGAGAGTCTTCCTTTCTTGCGGTGGCCTAAAAATTCATGATAGTAAATATTCAGATAAATTTATATGGGCATGTGTGTGTAATGCATTGTTGTTGTTAAGTGCCGTCAAGTCATAGACGACTCATAGTGACCCTGTGAACAAAAGACTTGCACACTTGTTTAACTTTCATCATTTCTCTAAGTTCAAAGAGTTTCCGGAGGCAAGCTATTTTGGAAGTGGATGCCACTCCTGCTTCCAAGCTTGTTTTAATTGGGTGCTCCACCAAATAGAGTCTACCATGGGTAACCATTATCACATTTGACACATCAGTGTCACAGTGTTTAGCATCACAGCAACCACGAGTTACCTCTGTACAGCAAGTGGACAGACTAGTGCTATACCACTTAGAAGAATGTTTGACCAAAAACAATTAAAACCAGGCCTTAGGGTTGTAGATTAAAATCACCAGCCTTTGGCTTGGTAGCATAACTTTCTACTCAGTAGGCCAACAGAGCTCTCTGACTCATGGTAATTATATGAACAACAGATCTAACCCTCACCCTATCCTGCACCATCCTCACAATCCAAGACACACTCAACCCATTGTTACAGTCACCATATCAGTCTATCGTGTTGGTTGAGCATCTTCTTTCTTCTCTGACCTTCCGCTTCTCTCAGCATGATGTCATTTCCCAAGGACTGGAACCTTAACTGTTGTTTGTTGTTAAGTGCCATCTAGTTGTAGAAGAATCATAGCGACCCAACCCATATAGAGAACAATTAGAAGTTGTTACGAAACATTCTCTAAACCGAGCATAATTTATTCTTGAAATTAATGATCAACAAATAGGTCAGTGTTGAAGATTTCCTGTTTCATAATAATTGTTTGTGACTCATGAGTGAGCATTTTGAGAGTAATTACTTGGTGCTGTGAGTAAACATTTATGCACTGTTGGTCCCACTGGCTTACTCACCTGCACTGATAATCAAGTGGTGTTGGGGGAGGAGGCGTGATTAGTGTTAAAATGAGACTCTTTCTCCCTGTGGTACTGTATGTTTCCAGATTTCTGAACCACATGATGATGAAGAACATTCATCTGGCAATGATTCCATACGCAGTCATCAGGGGCAGGGAGGGGGACGTTTCTTTTTCATGATTTCTAACATTAAATGCAAATTCATATTGGTCACAGTTTAAAAGCTAAAAATATGTTAATGCCAAAAATTGCCTGCCATAAGCATACTATACTTCGTACATGCCTGGTATTTATTTATGTGCATATGCTGATGTTCCAGTGTTAGGAAACATCACATAGAAAACAGGAAGATATTTTGGGCTCTTGTGAGAGAGAATCATATTTTCCTGTATGTGGAATTCAGTATATGGGTCTCTGTTACCTCAGTGCTTAACAGGACAAGAAAGAATTCTGGGTTATCAAGAGGCCTTGACTTTAGCTTGGCACAGATATGCATAAAAGAGTTACTGCATCATCTCCTCAAAAAGCTCTTGACACAGGTCCATTGTGTGGTTCAACTAAACCATAGGCTTTCATGTCCCAGGTTTTTGTGGGATTGGAAGGGATGAGGCAAGAAGCACTGTGCTCTTTCCCTGGTGGCACCACGGGGCACTTTGGAGGGGCACTGGGGAGCTGTTTCCTTTTTGTAATGGCCACGAGGAGTTCTTTGGTTTGTCCTGTCTTTCTGGACTGTTGCATTTCATATTAGTGCCAAGAAAGATGGTCCCGTCAGCATCAGCCCTCTAGATTGTTTCTGTTATGTTCTCTGGCCCCCAGGACGTAGCTGAGGGTGCTGTGGTTTCTGACCCACCTCTCTGAATGCTTCCTTTGGCAGGAACACCTGATTGAGAATGAAGTGTCAATCCTGCGCCGAGTGAAGCATCCAAACATCATCATGCTGGTGGAGGAGATGGAAACGGCTACTGAGCTCTTTCTGGTGATGGAATTGGTCAAAGTAAGAGGATGCAGAGATGTGTTTTGTCCTAACCCCAGGCCCCATCAGCCGAGGGTTTGGTCCTGTAACGTGCATTGCTCACAGTTCCTGGATTTCTGTAGCACTGTGTCAACTGAGACACTGTCTTTGTTACCTTCCTAGTTTTACCAGTTGGTGTCGTGATGTGCTGTCTTGTGTGTTCTTTAGGGTGGAGATCTCTTTGATGCCATTACCTCTTCAACCAAGTACACAGAGAGAGATGGCAGTGCCATGGTGTACAACCTCGCCAATGCCCTCAGGTACCTGCACGGCCTCAGCATCGTGCACAGAGACATCAAGCCAGAGAACCTCCTGGTAGGTCTCCCTAGTTTTGGTGGTGTTGATTTTTCTTTTTTCCATTTCAGCATGTACTTTTCTTCTTCTCTAGGGATCCTTGTTGTTGTTATGTGCCATTGAGTTGCCTGCAGCCCATAGTACCCTAAGTACAACCGTCTCAACCCTGTCCTGTTCTGAGCCAGTGACTCTGACAGAACTAATCCCATTTCTTCAGTCACTGAGCCACTCCATCTCATCCAACGTCTTCCTCTCTTATGCTGTCCCTCCACCCTTCCAAGAATGATGTCCATCCCCAAGGACTGTCCCTCCTGGCCACATGCCCAAAGTCACCAAGACCAAGTATGTCAATATTTATGTGTTTAATTTCCATTTATAAATAAATATTATGTAGCCTCTCTGCCAATCCTGCAAACTGGGATTGAGAAAATCTATTAAGTAGGAAATCTGCAAGTCTCAGTCAAGTCAATGACTATGAAATATTAATGGTCTTATTGAGTTGATGTAAATGTACTGTTTACATACTATTCAATAGCACAATTGTATTTATGTTTGATTGCTGGTACTGTCAGGTGAAAGATTAACAAGAAAATTATTGTATGGTTTAAAAAAAAAAAGACCTCTGTTGAATGAGTTTGAGATAGACATAGAGATTTACAGGGGATAGTTGAGACATGGGGTCACTATGTGCCAGACAGAATTTTGGAGATAATCTAACTCATTCATCTCAGCTGTGTTTTGGTGTGAGGTGCTGGCTGGTCCCTCACTCTTGGTCACTACATATGTGACAACATAGCCTTGTTTCCGTGGGTTTTCTTGTCTGTAATATTTGTGCATAAAACCAGCCAGGCCTGCCTTCCAAGAAGCCACTAGCTGGGTTTGAAGAAATAACCTTTCTCTTAGCAGCCAATTACAAACTGCTTATACTACCTACCCTTGTGTCCCAGTTTTACCCCAATGGAAATGGAGAGAAAATTGAAGACCTTCAAAGTCTGCCCCCAACTCTCCTCTTGTGCAGTTTTCAGCCTTGAAATCCCAGTGAACGGTTAGCTATGAGTGAGTTCCCTTTTGACAACATGCGGTTTTGAGTTTGATCCTGTTACTAACTCTCCCTGTCCACCTAGCTTTTGGTGGCACCTCTCCGCCAAACCGTGTTTCATTCACCTTCATGTTGTGGTTTGATCACTAAACCCAACTTGGTAACTGGGATCCAGTCTTTGTGACAACATGATTCTAGCGAAACTAGCTAGGGAGCCACCTGCCTTCCCCCTGATGCAACAGGTAGCTTCTCTGTTTATACCATTCGAGGCACCAGTTACCAGAATGATCAGCCCTGCATGCCAGGTCCCCTTCCCCAGTAGTGAAGACAACTTTAATTAGCATTAGATCTCCATTGCTTTGTCCTCTCTGGTATCCTAAGAGTCGTTGTTGTTATGAGCCATCAAATCAACCACCACTTACATTGACCCTATGAGCAACAGATCTGACCCTGGCTCTGTCCTGCACTATCCTCACTATCTCTGAGGCTCACACTCATTGCCACAGTCACTGTATCCGTCCATCAAGCTGAGTGTCTTCCTCTCTCTCTCTGACCCTCTACCCTTCCCAGCTTGATGCCATTTTCCAAGAACTAACCCCTCCTAAAAACATGTCCAAAGTGTATAAAACAAAATTTCATCATCCTTGCCTCTAAGGAGCACCCTGATTGCCCTTCCTTTAAGGCATATTTGTTTGTTCTTCCAAAAGTCCGTGGAATATTCAGTACTCTTCTCCAACATCACAGTTCAAAGGTATCAGGTCTTCTTAGGCCTCCTTTACTTATTGTCTAATTTTCAGAAACATAAAAAGCTTCACATGCATGCATCTCTGACAGCAGTGTGATGAACAGACATGTTCATCTTATAAGACATGAAGCAAAAGTTATTTCTTATTAGACATTACCCTCCCTGGGCAGAATTCAGTCATGGCTTCCACTACTTCCTGTTGCACCTTCCACAGTGTAGTGAACTGAAGATTTGTCTGTGAACTTACGACTGCAGGCATGTTAGGGGCAAGGACTGTCAGTTGACTTCATAGCCCGTGTTTTGGACAGTGCCAAGTAAGCAACTGCAGGTGCAGAGAGCCGGCCACTCACTAATCAATCACTCCTTAGCTTGCAGAATACTTGCACGTGTCTAATGCTCTGGTTACCTAGTGGCAAGAAGCTGCACTGCAATCCCAAAAGCATATGGTTCAAATCCACCAGTTGCTCCATGAGAGAAGGATGGGCAGTCTCCTCCAGTGCAATAACTGCCTCAGAAAACCCACTGAAGGGTCAGTTATGGGTCAGTTTCGACCCTACAGTACACAACAACAACAACAAATGCTTGTACAGAGGTTTCTGGTTGCCAAGAGATAAGAAGTTGCACAGCTAGTCAGTCCAAAGGCAGTCTGAACCGGTCTGACTCCATGGGAGAAACACAGCTAATCTCCATAATCCTTTACAGCCATCAGCTATGAGTCAGCTCCAATTGGATGACAATGAGAGAGTAATGCTTGTCCTACACAGATTATTGTTAAAGGAACTTGTACTGGTGTGTAGGCTTGAGGGTTATTCTGGGGACTTTTTTTGCTAGTTCTGAATCCTTGTTTCCCCTCTGGTAATATCATTTGATGATCTCTGAATGTCCATTTAAAATGATGTGAGATTTTTCTTGCCGTCTTGTGCCTTGAAGGGATTGTATTTCATTGCTATATGTTCCTATTAGGGAAATAAATATCCCTGCTGTGTAATAAAAGATGGATTATGGGCTCGGTTTTATGAACTCCAAGGAGAGTTGTAAACAGCCCCAGGATTGAAGCGGGGATATGATGTGTTCTCAAAACAGGCCTCTTGCCCCTTACAGTGTCTGTCAGGCCCAGGGCTCCTGCCCCAGGTGACTGAGCTTGACTAAGGCCTTTACAAGAACAGGAGAAACCAGGCAAAAATGGTGGGCTTTCTTTCTCTCATCTGGCTAGATACAGCTAATGTGAAGCTGATGGGATGCCTCCCTGACTTCTTCCTGCCTCCACTGCCCATCTCATATAGGGGTCAGATTATTTACATTCTCTGTGAAAATAGGAGCCCTGGGCCCCCAGGGAGACATTGGTCACTCTGGAGCCAGCCATGCTGTGACTCTTGACTGCTGAGGCCAGCAGGGGAGGTGGCCCAGGCGCAGGCACACTTTCAGGAAATCTGGGAGTGTCTTATTTACTTTCCCAGTCTGACATCCCATTTCTTCCTCTCTTCCTCCGCAGTGCCTCCTTAGGCACTGAGAATTCCTCCTCTCCACTTGTCCTGCATTGTGGGTAGACAGTGAGATGGGAATGATGTTTCCAGTATCATGCATCTTGGAAAACAAATAGTAACTTAGATCCAAGTGCCACAGGTCCTATTCTACACGACCAGATGCCCTTCACAAACCTCAAAGTGCTCCTCTGGGCAAGGCTAATGTTTGAACCAGTGGCATCAGGTGGATTTCCTGAGTGGTGCAGTTAAGTTGCTCAGCTGCTAACCAAATAGTTGAAGGTTTGAGTCCAGTCATAGGTGCCTCAGAAGAAAGGCCTAGCAGTCATCTTGTGACAAAATCAATCATTGACATATCCATAGAGTGTTCTCAAGCACACACGGGGTTACCATGCATTGACATCAAATTCAGCCACAATTGGTACTGGTGGGAATCAGATTTTTTAAAAACCATTCACTGCATGTTTCTAAGTAAACATGTTAGATCCTTGAAGCCCAGCTGGATCACTCAGGAAATTCGAGGTTTAGGAAGTTGGTATTGGCCTGGGAAGAGGAAGTGCCGTTGAGGCACTAAAAGTAGAGACAGAGTGGCTGCCTGCTCAGAGACCTAATTCAGTTTTTAACCACCACAGCGTTCAGACGTCTGATTTGCATCCCCGTCTCTGGTAGCACAGCCGTAATTTAAACCCCTGCCAGCAGAGACGTATGGGCCGCCCTGTCAGGGGGCACAGGGGTGGCCATTAAGGCCATGAGTTACAGCCTGGCGGTGCCCTGTCAGAGTTAACTATGAGAGACCAGTGATAAATTCCGCATCAGAGGAGTTGTGGGGACAGGGGAGAGAAGAGGGCTGCTTGCTCATATTTGAAGTCCTTCTAAATCATTGTGTTGGCATTTTATTTAGAGACCTTGCAGTGTTTACTTTGTATATGAGATCTGCAATCTTCTCTTTTTTCCTTGCATTCTAAGGGCAGCTTTGGATAGAAGCATCTCTCTGCCTGTGGGTGGCGTGGTTTTGAACACTATAAGGCTGGAGTCTTCACAATTGTGATTGTTCAAATTCACTCAAAACTTGTATATGCATGCAGGCCACTGCCTAGGTTAAGATAGGTACCCCTTCCCTGTGATAGGTGTGCCCTCTCTCCACCTGAAGATACAGAATCTGTTGCAGAGTGGGGTGTAGTGCAAAACAATCATGTTGGTTAGAATCCCAGACTGGCCTCCTGCTAGTGATTTGAGTTCTCTTTGCCGTGGATTCTTTATCTGTAAAATGAAAATATCACTTATTTTCCTCTTTTCCCAGTTGGGATGATGATAGAAGCCCAGTGAGAAAATGTCTTGGTTTTAAAATCTCCAAACTCGAGTCAGAATGTCAGTTTCAGGGGAGAACAGAATTACATGCCAGAAGGTTGTTGGAGTTCTCTGATGACACAATGGTTAAAGAGCCAAGCCACTAACCCCAAAGTTGGAGGTTTGAACCCACCAGCTGCCCCGTGGCAGAAAGGTGTAGCCGTCTGCATCTGTAAAGAATACAGACTTGGAAACCTTTTGCATCACTTCGACGCTTTCTGCTCGGGTCTAGAAGTCTAAAACAGTGGTGGGGTTTGGTTTGGGGTGTGTATGCATGGAATATGAGGGTGTGCATTATGCGTGTGTCTGTGTATGTGTACAGTGTATGAGTGTGTTTGTTGTTGTTAAATATTATCAAGTCAGAACCAACCCATAGCTGACCCTCCAGAGGGTTTTCAGAGGCAGTTTA